AGCATCATTAGCCATCGGGGAAATGCAAAATAAAACCATAACGAAATACTACTACACATCTATTAGAATGTCTAAAATTAAAAAGACTGACCATACCAAGTGTTAGCAAGGATCAGAGAAACCAGATTACTCAACATTGCTAGTAGGGTGGTAGTAGCAAATATTCAAACGAGAACTGCACCTGCGGCGGCTCCACCCGGGCCCGCGCCCTAGGCTTCAAGGCTCACCGCAGGGTGGTAGTAGCAAATATTCAAACAAGGACTTGAAGGCTGAAGTGGAGAAGGGTTAAAAAGACGTTTAATTTAATAAAATTAAAAAAAAATTAATTAAAAAATAAGAAAAAGGAAAAAACATTGCTAATATGAATGTACAATGGTATAGCCATTCTAGAAAATAATTTTGCAATTTCCTCTAAAACTAAAAATGCATTTACCACATGACCCAACATTTGTATTCCTAGGCATTTATCCTAGAGAAATTAAAACCTATGTTCACAAAAAAAACTTGTATGTATATATTCTTAGCAGCTTTATACATAATATCCCCAAACTGGAAACAACTCAATGTCATTCAATGGATGAAGGACAAACCATGCTATATCCGTACCATATAATACTACTTAGCAAAAGAAGGGAACACATTAATACATGCAACAACTTGAATGAACCTCAAGGAAATTATGTTGAGTGAAAACATTCAATCTCCGAAGCTTACATAATGTATGATTCTATTTATATAGCATTCTTGAAATAACAAAATTATAGATGTAGAGAACAGATTAGTGGTATCCAGGGATTAGGGATGAGTGGGGATAGTGGTAGGTTTGGCTATAAAGGTATAACAGGAGTAAGCTTCATGGTAATAGAACAATTCTGTATTTTGACTGCGGCAGTGGTTATATGAAGCTACACTTGTGATAAAATTGCATGGAATTATACACACACACACACACACACACACACACACACTCACATAACTGTAAAAATCTGAACAAATTCTATGGATTATACCAATGTCAGTTTCCTAGTTTGATAATGTACTACAGTTATAAAAAGTGTCAACATGAGCAGAAGTATGGTTAAGGGGAGACAGGACTTCCCTCATACATTTTTTTGCAACTTCTTGTAAATCTATAATTATTTTAAAATAAAAATTTTTTAAAAATCTGTGTAGTGTTTTTTGATTCCTTCATTTAATAAATCTAGTCACTGATGCTTTTTTCCTATTATTGTAATAAAACTATGTAAAGTCTTGTGAATTAGTGATCACACCATGTAACATCAGAATGCCTTGATAATAAGGTTATATAAAGAGGTTTCCTAATGATATAATGACCTAACATAATTTTAAATTCACTTGACTAAGATCACAGGACTAAAACCAACAGAAAAATTTTTATCAAGGTAAAGAAATTGATTACATAAAATTAATACTAATAATCGTACATGCATTAGCTCATGAATTATATAATAGCACTTATTCTAAAAGCTAAAAACATATATTGGCTATAAACTTTCACAATATTGCAAACATTTTAAATAACAAATATTCTAAAATATAGTGTGATGGGCTGAATTGTGTCCCCCAACTCCCATCCAATTCATATGTTGAGGTATTGAAGTCCTAATCCCCAGTATTTAGAATGTAACTGCATTTGGAAATAGGGTTTTTAAAGAGGTAACTAAATTAAAATGAGGTCATTAGGGTGGTCCCTAATCCCATCTGACTGGTGTCATAAAAGAAGAAAGTTTGTACTCAGACACCAAGAGACACCATGTGAAGACATAGGGCAGAGAGGGACCTAGAACAGATCCTTTCTTCACTGCCCGCAGAAGGAACCAGTCTTGCTGACACCTTGATAAACTTCTAGCTTCCAGAACTATGAAAAAATATTAATAAATTTCTGTCATTTAAGCCACCCAATCTGTGGTACTTTCTTACGGCAGTCCTAGCAAACTAATAAATAAAGTAAACCCCGTACACATTTTACAATATTATTCAGCTCCTTTAAAAGAGTTGCATGTTAAAATTAAGTTAGGTTTTAAAATCAAAGTACAAAACAGAAACACCATTCCTAGAAAAAGGCATTGCTTAATATTTTATTGCTGATAATGTATGCTGAATATTGAACAGCAGATATGAGTGAAGTATTTCCTATTCTTCTAGTGAATGCATATTGTTTTATGTAATCAATATTTTTAAATTTAAATATTTGTAGATTAGATTTTCTTAAGAGCATACTTATTTTAATAAAATAACTTTCAGATAACAAACTTTTTACCAAGGCAGAATATTTATCAGGTGAAAAATCAAATTTGCTTCCACTCCCAAACTACTATTGCCTAAATGGCTCTTGAACTTTTAAAATTCAAATCTAGAATTAGGCTTAGAAATGTAGTCCACGTTTTTCACAAAACTGATGAAATTGGGGATAGAATAGGCCTATTTTCTTATCCTATTAAAAATGTTTCTTTCTTTTGGAAGTATGTTTTAACTGTCTAACCTACTCCGACAGTAAGAAATATGAGACTCAAAATGCCTGCCTCTGAAATGATGGCTGAGATAAATACATATTCAGGATCTTCAACTAGTGGTATATTAGAAACTAATTTAGAAGCTTTGCCCAACAATGCCTTTACTCATTTAATAGGTATTTGTTGAGCTCCTCTTAATTCTAGGACATTGTGGTAGAAATTATGGGGGGAATGAAAACAAGTAAGATATTATGTCTGGCCTAAAATAATTTATAGTCCAATAGTAGATCACATGTATGCATGTGATCAGTGCAGTACAAATGGTGCAAATTGTTGTGAGTTCCAGGAAGATCAAGGTCATGTCCAGATCTGGTCAGAAAAGATTTCTGCCCAGAAGTAGCATTTGAGCTGTGATAGGCTGAATGTGTGAGGATAGGAGGACCTTTCTCACGGAGTGATGCTGAGACAGGGAAGGCCCAAGGTGGATATTACACAATGACAAGTATAGGTTGACCTGGTATGGATCATAATTTCTGAACCCTAAACTGAGACACATGATTGACAAGTATGAAATTGCATAAAAGCAAAGGTAGAATTGAATCTTTGACACCAGGAGTGCCATAGGTACAGGAACGTTTAGTTTGCCGAGGGCAAGTTAACTCACTTCCATTGTATTTACTTTTTCCTTACTCCATATTAGGAATGTTGCAGTCCCTCTTAGTTTTGAAATCTTGCTGTACTTTTCCATGTGTTAGAATGTATTTTACAAATAAATTTGTATTGCAGGTTTTTATTTTAATGTCAGATAGAAAGTCACACTGACATGAGTAGTTATTTTAGAGTTTAGTGTACATTAACAGAGTCAGCTTGCTAACCTAAGTAGTGCCATTTTGGCAAATGATAAACAGGTGACAGCATGTGTGTGCCCCTCTGCAGTGTCATTCTGACTTAAACACAGACAGATACGAGTATGGAATGGTACGGTTTATTCAGCCATAAGAAGTCACCTTTATGGATACAGCAATACCCAGAAAGACTTCTTAGATGTAAAGGAAAACTAACCTTATTTTCTTTAGCTACATTCTTTTTAAAACTTTAGCATATAGATATTTTTAGGGAATACAATTCCCACATAATCACTGGACTACAGTAGACCCCCACTTACTTGGTCCCTGCCAAATTATTTCTCCAGATTTTCTATTTTGTGCAGGAACTAAAAGTGAAGAAGATGCCAGAGCCCTTGTGCTCATGCACCAGGTCTGTCGTAAATGCCACTTTTTCTCCCAGACGTACTTTTTACCCACAGAAAGACATTTTGCTTTTCTCTCCTTGGTCCTCATTCCTGAACCTGCTCATCACCTTCTCTTAAGTCATGCTCTTTTTAGTGCCTCATCCTAGCTCACTGCTTTACTTCTCCCGTAGCCATTTGCTGGCCTTATTTCCTCTGCTGCCATGTCTGTCCTGTATACCTTTGCTTCTGGTCTTCACCCATGTGGCTGCTATTTCTGCTCTGGTGGCTGCAAGAGCAATAAACCGAGCCGACCTCCTTTGCCATCCGATCGTAAGCTGAACCCATCACACAGCTCAGTCAGGATGGGCTAACCAAAGAAGGGAATGTCAAGTGAACCCTCTGGGAAAGCGAACTATCCAGATTTTCATGTAGATCACATCCTCATCAATTCAATTAATTGTGGTTGTACACATTTTATAGTATTTTATTGTTTTGTGTGTGTTCTTGTAATTTAAGGGTAAAGGTAAGGGTAGGTTAAAGCAGCAGTGCAGAAAAGAATGATGGAGGGGGAGCTTGCTAATTATCATTCCGAAGGATAATGTGCTCTATGCATTTCTCACAAAATTATATAAAAGTAGCACATTTAAATCTGAGTTCTGAAGACATTTTTATTAAACTTAATTTAAGTAGATAGAATAATGACAATAATGGCTATGATGAATTCTGGTCTTATTTTGGGGGGGGAAGAGTACTATTAGACTCATTAAGATATATTAACTAATGTTTTTTGCCTATAAATTTATTATTTTTAGACTCTACATCCTTCTAGTCCTCTCTACTCCTACTACTTTTCTTCATAATTTGTATAGAATGTATCCTAGTTACTCTCCTGCAGATGCTACCGAACCAGCTCATGTTAACATATTTAAATTTACTTTTCTGATACATTTTGCAAGAAAACAATGTAATTTCAATAAAACCCAGACCATTACACAGATAATATGTTTTTTATTTATGTAAGTGTTTAAAAACAGGTTATATTGCCATTTAATGCAATTTAAAGGCTAAAAAAATTACTAAAAGATTTCATGCATTATTAAGCATGATAGCCCTTTTTCTCATTTCTTTTTCAGAATGGCTACTGAATTTAAATTTAACCTTTTGCTTAGGTGTCATTAGAATCTCAGAAAACTCAGCTTTCAATTATTAATTTCCTAAAAGAAACTAATCAATTTTTGGAGAAATGTTTTATGATTCAATGTTGACTATTTGTAAACTTTGAATTTGCTTTACAGAAATAGACATACTAAATAAAAGTTTGACAGTGTCCCAGAAAAATAAGCTATGTCTTGAAGAGGAAATGAAAAATCTGAAATTGTTGTCAGATGCAGCCATATTGAAGTCTCAGCAGATTCAGACATCCAAACAACAGGAAGTAAACTTGCAAACCAGATGCTATGATTTGCAAAAGGAAGCACTAGGTAAAGAACATTCTTTGTTGCTGTTGTTAACAACTCGCTTTATAGCTATATAAGGAAATGTCTAAATTTTTTCTTATAATCATAACAGAGAATTGATTTATTTTGTATTTGCAAATATGCCTAATTATTACTAACTATGGTGATAACTGTGTCTGTGATCAATATTTGCTATTATTCCTTCCAATTTTGTCATTTAGAATGATAAGACTTAAGTGGATATATGAAACACATTTCAACTACAAAGTAAGATTTCAGAAAACCAGTGGACTTTACTTTGGTATATCTATGTTTTCCTATATTTCCTTCTAAAAGCGAATCTAAATTTTTAGGCAATTCTTTATTTTCCCAAATGAAAAGATTAAAAATTGTGTTTGGGGCCCTGTGGGCAAAGTTTTTAAACATGTCTCTATCTCAGAGGAATGCATGTCTTGGCCATAAGTCTGAAGAGTTGGTACTTTTACCTGAAGACATTACGGAATCGTTGAAAATTGGTAATCAGGAAAATGATACCATAAAAACAGTGATTTAGAAAAATTAATCTGTTAGCAATGAATGAAGGTTAGAGCCAAGGAGTCATTTAGAAAATATCTTTGCCAGTAACCCAATCCCAAAGCTAACCTGAAATAGGGAAGGAAACTTACATTTTTTAGGTCCTAAGTGTTTAACTTTCTGTTTCTGGCTTATTTCATTTAATGTAATATCCTCCATTATATGCAGTTCCATCTATGTTGCTGTGAATAATAGGATTTCATTCATTTTTATGACTGAATAGTATCCCATTGTGTATGTATATATATATTAATACCACATTTTGTTTATTCCTTGATAATTTTTAGGAGCATTT